TAAGGTCTGACATGATCCAAAGGTTCACATTTCAATTAACACACGAGAAAAATATATAACGGAGTGAAAAGTTAAATAATTAAGGTCTGACATGATCCAAAGGTTCACATTTCAATTAACACACAAGAAAAATATATAACGGAGTGAAAAGTTAAATATTCCTGTGTCTAATAAAAGCGATATACTGGAAATGTTGTGATTAAAATAAAAAAATGATATTGTTATAAACCGATTTTAACTGTAGCATTAACTGTAACTCGTTTTTCTCACCATGAGTCCTTACAAAGTTGTTTTTTTTTGCTTTGTGTAATGATTCTATCATACTCCCCCCCCTTTACACAGTGAATGACAATGACGTTTTTGGACTAAAATCGTCGACAATTTAACAATTATTAGTTTAATAAGAAATTTAAGTGCGATATACAAGAGATGTTGAAATAGATTAAGACTCGAAATGCTACAAGATTCATATTTCAATTTACACAAGGAAAAAATATAACGGAGTGAAAAGTTAAATAAATTAAGGCCTGAGATGATCCAAAGGTTCACATTTCAATTAACACACATATTTACGTGTAATATTTCGAAAAATTAAGTGAAATTATAAATTAACAATAAGTGAAATCCAAGTTAAACATAAGTAAAATATGTGAAATTAAGTGAAATAAGTGAAATATAAAGTGAATTATAAAGTGAAATAAGTGAATTATAAAGTGAAATGAGTGAAAATGAAGTGAAATATAAAGTGAATTGAGTAATTAAGTGAAATGAATTAAGGAAATGAAATCTTTATCCTTAATATGGGCGGTGGCGATGATGGTCTTGGTCGCGAGGGATGTTGGTACCGTATCTAGGGACATACAATCCCATCGCCTCCCATTTGCTGCTACAGCGTGGGCACGTTCGGGTGGTGTGCCCATGTCTTCCACACATTTGGCAGACCCTCCGCCTGGATTGTGTGCAGCTGCTGAAATTGTGCCCCTCTTGATGACAGTTCCAGCATAGACGTTGCGGGGGGGACGATGCAGCTGGAGCAGGGTACGATGACATTCCAGGTGCTTCGTCTTCGGAACTGTCATCAACCCAACGGACGAAGCAGGTCGGCTGCGACTCGTCCCAGGTGTGGGTTTGAGTCTGCCGTCGCGACTCCTGCTTCGGCGGCTTGGTCTTCTGTAGCGTCGCTCGTGGTGGTAGCTCTCCTCGGAGTGACTTGACCACCACTGGGGTTCTTCTGGCCGGACTTTGGGCTTCGGGAAGGGTCCGAACGGATCCACCGTTTCCGGTGTATCCTCCGAAGCCGAGGATACTGGGTCCAACTCCATCAAGGCCGGGGGCTCTTCAGTTTCTTCCGGCGATGTTGGTGCTGGCGATGGTGGTGCTGTTGGTGCGGGAGTCAGGGGAGTCGTTTGAGTTGACCGCTCAACGGCAACGAACTCCGTCTGTACCTCCTGGTCCACCATCGTCGGCTCTTCCAGTGGCCACTCCTGAATCTCTGTGGGTAGGGCCGAGCGTCCCGCGAGATCAGTCCTCCATCGATTGGGCACTCCGATTGTAGCGAGCCACCATTTCATGGATCGCCCTGAAGAGGCCAGGACGGTACTGCTCCAACCAGACCAGCGAAGGAATGAACGGCCAGATCGAGTCCCAGAATGGGTCCTCCTCCAGCCTCACCTCAACTTCCTCCGGTGGTCCAGGAATCCCTCCAGGTCCGTTCCGTTCTGGTGGTGGCGGGTTCCACGGTGGAGGTGTGGGGATACGTGGATCTTCCATCTCCACTGTTTCGTCATCGGATTCGAATGGTGACGGTGCTCGAGGTACCTCCTCGATGTCCATATCCCCGTTTACAGCTTCCGGCTAGTCAAGTATCTCAATGCTTGAGGAGCTTGAGCTGGTCGAGGGGCTGGGACTGGCGGGGATTTGGACTTCCTCGTCAGGATCCGCCAGTAGGATGTCCTCCCATTCCTCCACGTCGTGCCACTCCTCGTCCGATTCAGAGACATTGAGGACTTCGATGTTAAAGTCCTCCTCCGGTGGGGTGGTGCTGTCTGCCTCCATCTTACACAATTGTGAACAATTGGGAGAACCAAATCCTCCAAGCAACACACACAATCAGAAAAATCAAAGTTTTCACCAAAAGAAAAAAAAAGAAAAATCTGTATCCACCACTGCACAGGTTCTGTAGCCAAAAGAATAACCGAAAAAAATTTACACAAAATAATATATATATATTATAACAATTATATTATATATAACAATAATATTGACTTGTATTTAAGCTGAAAATAAAATTTAATTAAATGAACAATAACATGACAACAAGTTATTATCGAAATAAAATTATTAAAAGCAAATAATATTTCGAAATATTTTATTAAATTCTTAACTTAAAATTTTTAATTTCGCACTTATCAATTCTCAATAATTTTTCTTTTTAATTTAACAAATTCACAATTTTTTATTTCTATAATTTTGAAGTTTTTAACTTTCGCGAATTTTTTTGGTTTCTTAACACAATTTTATGTATTTGAAATCGAAATCAACCTCCTCGTAATAAATTATTTAGAAGTTGATGACGATTATCTGTAACTTTAACAAAATTAATAATCTGTAATTTAGTATTTCCTTAAACATTTATTCTCTGTAACCAACCTTCTGTAGCAAATTATTCTCACACGAGGTGATTGGAAAATTTTTATTAATTGAAACTCAATTTATTATTATAAATTAAACAATCAAGAATTTTATAATATTTTAACTAAACAATTGGAATTATTACAAACCATAGGTCAAAATAACTGTAGCATTTAAGTAAGAACTTTCAACAAAATACTTTTGAACTTGAATATAAAGATTTTTACACAAAATTTGAACTCTCTTATCAGGGATGTAAAACGTGTTGCCCCACGTTGGGCGCCAAATTGTAACGTATTTTTCTCGATTCTAAAATTACTCTCAAACTTGATTTTTAAATTTTATTATAACAAACAACAAATAATTCTATTTATCAAAATTATTAACTTGGCCGAAATTGGATTCAAACTTTAATGCAAAATGACTCGATTCTGAAACTTAATTTATGTTACTTTAAATCTTAGAAAAATCAAATAACAAAATAAGCAAAACGTTACTGTGCGACTTAACTTTTATTCTTATGGACGATCCCCGGTATGGAAGGGCGCCAGACAACTTTTTTATCTCCGGTATTGTCAACCGGACTAAACTAAATCCAAATCTCAAATAAACAAATCTTAAACTTATAACTAATAACATATTAATTAAGATCGACCAATAAGAATTATTAACTAAGTCTTCTGCACGTGCCGGTGCTAGTCAGTTATGCAGGTCGTGGAGAGGGATGGGTTTTTTAATAAAAAGAGAGTTCATGGTAACTATAAATAATTCGTAAACAATAAATTAACAATAATGAAATATTATATTTTAATATTATAAACTATTAACACTAATGATTTTCTTTATGACATATTTTATCTTACTTGTTAAAACTTTATTTATTATCATTATTATATTAACAATAATGATAAAAGAATCTTACAAACAATTATAAAATGACTTACAGTTATGCTCTGCATCGATGACTGGACCTATGGGGAAAAAACGAGTTATTTCAATTAATTTGAAATAAACCGAACTACTGTTGTTAAACTTTAATAATATTTAATGAGAAGTAATTTATATTTTATTAGTATGACTGTAACCACAAAAACTGTACTCAAAATACAAGATCGAAAAACTATTGAAAAACTAAACATGTTGACTCGATCTGTTTCTTTATTATATTTTTTAAAAGTTCTAACATTTTTTAAATGTTAAAAATTAAATAATGTATGAAAATTAATTTTAACGAGAATAATTAAATTTAATTAATTTATTTAATTTATCCAATCTAATTTATTTAATTTATAATTTATTTAATAAGAGATTAGTTATTTTTTATAAATAATTAAAAGAAATGAACAATAAATCCAGCTCTAAGCTGAATTGTCTGAGTCACAATTCGGACATTTGTACCAGGGTCCGCAGATTTTGGCTATATAAGAAATTACAAATAACGATTAGAACTGTCGGTAACTATCGACAGATTTTAATTCTCTATTGATAACAACACAATTTCGAAGTAGAAAAAGAAAAAATTTCAATTATGGGGCTTAGAGCATTATTAAGAAACTATAACATTAAAAATAAATAAAGTTAAGAAATTAAGGTGTGATATTTATCTTAGGGACACCAGACTGTCCATCTTGGGACCAATGACCCCATTTTTTTGGCGCAAATAAAAATTACTTACAAACACACTGTCAACCGAATCATTTTAGAATACTATTATACGATAAATAAATAAGGTTATTACGATATGCACCTATTCGAAATCAAAGATATAGATAATTTTACCGACTGAAATAAAAACAGTTACAAAACTTTTTAAAACGAAAAATCCACGTGATATGTGTTACAGAAAGAAAAATAATTCTTTTCGATCCATGTTTATATAAAAAGCTTCATCTAAACAAACTAAATCAGTAAAAAAATCACGAGGCGATATATACTTATACGAAAATTTTATATCAAATGTCCATCTTAGGGCCCTCTCCCCTAAAGAAAATCAAAATCACCGACTCATGGTAATATTCCACAGTGATATTAAGAGAATATTCCATAAATATCCCTATGATATTTTAATGACATACTATGCTATTTGGTCCGTGTTAACATTATAAAAGAAAATCTTACTAAATGATGAGTTTTTCTTTTAAATATATTATTTATATTTTTGAAAGTAGAAAAAAATGAAAATAACCTTCCAAAAATATACATACATGCATATAAGTAAGGATTTGTATAATACAGTGGCTTTTTATGACATTAATATCTTAGTACATAATTTAATCCCATCTCGTAAAATTCCTCATAAATTTTATTTTTTATTATGTAAATAATCATGTCAGTTATAATTATTTTTTCATTTTCTCTTATTTGGACAGAAACGACAAAAGCATAAACAATTCGTTGAGAATGAAATTTCAAAATGGCTTCCTGATGAGAAAATATTACTATTAGATAATAATATGGATGGACTAAATATATTGCGGCGCATTGGATCTCAAAAGCAAAAAAAGATTTTTTATCGAAGCAGAAGACCGTATTTGATTGCTGAGACAATAAAATATACTTCACAAGTAAATATTTATTTGTAATTTTTGCATGTTTTTGAAAAAATCTGGGCTCATCTTTATTGAGTTTCAAACTAAGAAGAGCATGCAACTGAACTTTAACCTAGGATTTTATGTGTTAAGCAATTAATAATATAACACTCAATTATGAAACGATATTTAATAATAGTTTTTATATATTTTGTTTTAAGTCAATACATTTACATCTATAACGAAAATCTGAATTAAATAAAATTCGTTTTAAAATATGTTAAATAATATAATGGAGACTTTCATCCTAAATGTTAAAATATTTACTTAAAACATAATTATTTTGCAAATAATAAGTTGCGGTTATTACACACAGTGAGAACGATTTTCTAATAAATATTTTTATTTTACTTAAAATTTAATTACTTTTAGAATAAGTCAAAATATTTGAATCTTCTAAGCGTATTTAACTATATAGAATCTAATTTTTTCCCTTGTTAAAGCTTAAAAATTTTTATATACACAGAATTCGGACGATAATAATGGTACACTGGAAGTGTCTGGATATTTAAGAGGGCAACCTTTGTCAGCTAATGAGCTTATCCATCTAACGGGATTTGGAGATTTTCAAATATCTCGAATTGATGCTCCAGAAGATCCATATTCTCTCGAAAAAGAGAGAAAAAAATCAAAATCAAGTGTAGAAAATAATACTATGGATTGTGAAACTGTAACTAAAATCCTTGAAGAAGCAGATGCAAGTAAACAGGTAAAGCGATCAAAATTATATTAACGATATGAAATATTGAATGTTCATGTATGACAATAGATTTTTATTAAGTCATATTTTCTAATTTAAGAATAAGGCTCCACTGCAAGCTGGCTCAAATTTAAAATTCTTTTTTATTATTCGATATACGTTTAATTCAATTGAATCTTGAACCGTGTGACTACGATGACAATACTGTGTTTCGAGACGTAGAAATAATCATAACGCGAACACCTTTTGCATCCTTAATACCGTATATATTTTCAAAATAATTTTCATCGATTATGTTTTTAATCGAAAAACATTACCAGAAAATTCCAAAATCGAATTAAAAATGGGCGTCGACAACAAAAAATATATTTAACGGCCGGTAAAAAGGTTCCCATATATTAAAAACATTACATTTCATTCGATACATTTCAATATATTCTTTATACATCGGTTTATGGCCATCTTTCATTTTCTCTCCCAATTTGAAATACATAATTATAATTTTTATTTATCTACATTCATATCTTCAAAATGATTTTTTATAATTTTTTTATTTAAAATTAATGTTATTACTGCTTTATGTACACAATTATAAGTAAAATAATTTTAACGTCTGGCGTAACCGTCATGTACATCGTTGAAGTATTTATATAAAGAATGAATTTTTTTTCTTTGATTTTTGTGAATTGTTCTTTATAATACCATTTTAATATTTTACATAAAGGTTCAGACGAAATTCTATTAATAAATTAAAATGTTACAGCTTCTAAATTTGTAAAATGTGAATATTTTTGACAAAATAAGGTCTTCTTGATTCCTTAGGAATTTTCGTCGTGTTCAATAAATCCATGAAACCAATTCAAGGATTAACTTTACATCTTTTTGGTTTTTGTTGGAACAGTTAATTTCCTCTTACCCAACTTGAAATACCTAATTATAATTTTGATTTATCTTTTCACTTTTCCGTACTGTTGTTTTGTTTTTATTTCTAAACAAGTTTAAAAATATTTATTATTTATTATATATTGTTTAAATCTTATATTAAATAATTATTATTAATTTTTATTAGTTACTTTTTTTTATTATAATTTTTAATAATATTCGTCTCCAGGCCCGGATACAATAGGAAAATGCAATATTTCGTGTAATATTTTATATTTATTTTATATTTATCAATGCAATATTTGCATAAAATGCAATATAATGCAATATAATATAATGTTTATAATGCAATATTATTATGCAATTTTATATTATGCAATATAATGTTTACAAGAGATTGCTACTCTTGCCAACAGATGTTTGAAAATTTAAGAAAAGATAAATGTAGATATAGCCAGATGTAATACAATTCATTACAAGTAAGAAAATAATAATGAGCAATTTTTCTAATTTCATCTTTTCGTTCTAATGATGAGGATGTAAAATGTTCTGCATTTTCAAAATATTGAAATTTTTTGTTTTGTAAAATGTTAATGGTAATTTATTTCATTAAAGGAATCTCTACAAGCAGAAAATATCTTAGATCCAATGGATGCAGAACAAACTTGGCCTACAGAAGACGAATTAATTGAAGCAGAAAATTCTACAACACAAAAATTAGTTAAAGTTGTACCTAAAGGAACATCAGTATATCAAGCCGCTTGGATTCCCGATGAAGATGCTGGTTAGATTTTTATTAAATATTTTATTGTTACAAACTAGAAAATTATTTTATTTGAAATTATCTATTTTATGATTAGATAGGCAACAAGCTTCCAAAAGTCTCTCTTTAAAACTAATATTCAATTACATCGATAATGTTTGCATCATTAATCTTCATTTTTGTGTACTGATTAAACTTCACATTTTTTTGCAAGTTTATTGCATACGTAGGGGATGCACCCATAATATGAAGCTATGGCTATGACTATTGAAATACCATTTCAATGCCCCCTTAAACGAATGAATTCTTTTAACATAAAAGGAATTTTATTTGTTTTAAAAAAAAAATTAATTTCAATTAGCAAAAAGATGGAGAGAAACAAAAAAAAAATTTTTTTTAAAAAGAAAAATTTACAAAATTTGACTCCAAAATGCCCCCCTAAACGAATGAATTTCTTAATTTATGAATAAATTCATTCGTTTATAAAGAAAAAAAAATTTATTTATTTTATTTACACTACTGAGCTATTATGCTCCTGGGGCTCTTATGGGTTCATCCTCAAATTCATCCTCATCAAAATCTTCTTCCACCTCATCGTAATTCATATATAAATCGTAAGTGTCAGGTTTGATTATAGCAAGTTCATTTTCCACTAGCCAATCATCTAGTGAGGATAATTGATTGATTTTTGCCCATCCCACATAATGATGATTTACAATTTTTTTAATATAAAAGTCTACCACAATATTTTTTATAAAGTCTTAGAATCTGTAATTTGTTCCAGACTCCCAAATGTTACGTTGTGGTGGACAAATATCACTTAAGGCGATTTTAAGAGTAAATTTAGGGATAATTAAGAATTTATATATAATATGAAAGATATTTTTTTTTTATATATGTATGCATATGTTCGTCAATATTGTATACCAACACTAGATCTTGCATACCCGTTTTTATTAAAATAATATAACCCCTTTCATAACTATCTACTTCTTGTTTATATATAATAGGGACCGCCAAAATTCTGTCGTTTAAATTTGTGATCCTATGTTGATCCTCTTTATCTTTATAAAAGTTGGAAATCTCCTTCTTCATTTCCATTTGTGTTTGCTCTCTCTCCATTAATTTAGCTTTTATGGATGATGGGTTGATTGCATTTATAATTTTCATTTTATACTTTTTTATATTTAGGACCATTTCAGGATATTGTTCATAACCTGTTACTATGTCATTTTCATTTATGTTTTGTTGTTGCATCTTGAAAAAAAATAAAGAACAAAAAAATAATAATAATTATAATCTTTAAGGGGTAACACCACTCTAGAATTTTCAAAAAAACGATTTATTTTTTTTTTGTTAAAATGTACTTTAGCATTGTAGAAACAATAGGCAGGTGATCCTATGACGAAAAAAAATTTATTAACCCTTTGAGTGTCACTAATGCACCATATAGGCACTGAACAACGCCTTTGAAAAAATCCATATTTTCAAAAAAAAAAAAAAAAAAAAATTTCAAAATCTGACTACAGATTTGTAATCAGTGACCCCAAAAACTATAGAATTCGTCATGAAAAGCTTTAAATTTGTTGTACTCCGGAAATTATGAATTTTAGAACATTGTAAAGGTCTGCTGGCCCATTGTGTGTTCGTTCTACTTTAAACGCGTTTTTCTCGAAACCACTTTTTTCAAACTGGGAGGACGGATTACTCGAACACCGTTGCATGGATTGATCTGAAATTTTAACAGTAACTACACAATAACCTTCTTTATGGAACTACGTAGCCGTTTTTTGATTTAATGTAAACTTTTTTTTTATAAACAATTTACTGCTTGTTTTTTGGCAAAAAATCGATTTTTTTTTTCAAAGTGCTACCATTTGTACAAATTTTGATTTAAAAAAAAACCCCTACGTAGTTCCATAGTCAATAGGGTAGAGATTCAGAAAATTCTTGGATTTTTGTTTTAGGTCTTACACCTTTCTAGAAAATCGTCCTCCCGTGTAGGTGTTTTAAAAATTCAAGATTTTTGAGCCGGACTCTATCGCCGCCATTTTATATTAAAATAATAATATTAAATTTATTTTTTATACTTGAATATGTGTTAAATAAACCTATCTGAAGAAAAATCCTATTCCTTTTATCCTACTGCAAATATAAATCGTCAAAGTTAGGCTATTTTTCTTACCGCTAGAGTGGTGTTACCCCTTAATTTTAATTAAAACATGCTAATGAAAATAAATAGGAGAAGGCAGATTTATAATTTATGTAAAAAAAATAAAAAATAAAATATGTAAAAAAAAAAATTTTATTGGGTATAATCCGTCAAACGGATTATATTTGGGTATATCATACCATTAATTTTTACAAATAGAGGAAAAGGTTCCTCCTCCTCTACTACATTACTATTTTTTTTATTATGAAACAAGTATTGATTAACGTTTAATTTAACATTTTCAATTTTAGTAATTATTGGCTTGTTGTTTTTCTTTATTTTTAATATTTTATTTTTTTTTTATTTTATTTCTTTTCATTAAATTTTTTTTTCTATTATTATTTTCATTTTTTATTGTTTGTGTAGCCTTATTGGCTACATCAATTGTTATAATTTTATTTGTGATGTGGTAGTCGCTGGCAGAGATTGATAGAGGACCTGCCTCATCTGTTGCGCCATCGCACACAGTACTCGTGGCCTGACTTTTTTTTTATTATTAGTGCCATCTATAGAAAAAAAATAAAAAAAATTTTCTTATGGCTATATATAAAAAAATATATCTCTAATTTTTATTAATGCAAGTTTATTGCATACGTAGGGGATGCACCCATAATATGAAGCTTAATCAGATCCCTAGCCTTATTGCCCAGTTCCATGACTCTTATTTCACCTGAATCTCAAGCTTTCAAGGAAAGTCAATGTCTCTCGAGTCGAGATTAAATAATTTCGATTAGAATCACTCACGCTCCAATGTTTAAAACTACCGCTGTACGTCGTCCTCATATAGGTTTTACGACTCAGTTCAACGGACAAAACAAAAGGTTGGTAGCACTCTCGCGCTTGTGGGTCCACCAAGTTGGGATGACGCAGATACCTCAGATACAAACTGTCCAGTTGAGAAACAAGAATTCAAATTAATTGCGCGTACAATTTACTAGAATCCTCACTCAAGTTGCCTTCCACTGAACTACGCTAAATTGGAGAATTAAGGAAATATTTTTCTTCCGCCGAAGTTTACTTTAAAAAAAGATCGAACCTGGATTCGACGCGCGGACATGCTCAGTCGCGGCTTTTACAAGCTCAAAGAACTCTTCTTCCAGGCTAGAGCCAGGAGAAGTGTTTGTTAATGAGCGAGAAAATTGTACTGTGTTACATCTGGTCATTTTTTCGACTTTAGTTTTTTTCTCTATATTTAATTTTTCCGCGTTTCTTATCTTTTTAAAAGAAAAAACATCGGTTTATTTGAAAAAAAATGTTCTTTCTTTTCATTTACCGATTCATAATGTATCTGTTTTTCTCTTGATTTCTTTTATGCAGATAATGAAACGTGAAACCTTAAGTGGTCAGCATATACAGAATGCAATTTTTCCAAAAATCTTAGAAACCGAAACATTCGTAAGCAATAAAATTCCAAAATACAATCATAAAATCGAAACTTCTAAAAAAAATAAATTTTACTTTACCGACGAAACTATATACTCAATAGAAAGTAAACTCACATACTGAAATGGTATCAGTTAAATGACATTTTGGTTAAATGACAATGCTGTTAAATGACGTGTCGGTTAAATGACATGTCTGTTTATTGACATTTTGGTTAAATGACGAGTTAATTGGCGAGTCGCTTATTTGACGAGACGGTTAAATGGCGTGTCGGTTTATTGTCGTTTCTTTTTATTGACGTTTCACTTAAATTGCAATTCTGTTATTGGACATGTCAGTTGATTGTGGTGTCGGTTAAATGATTTTTCGTTTAAATGACATGGCGGTAATTTGTCATGTCGGTTAAATAATAATTCGATTAAATGACGTTTCGGTTATATGACATGTCGGCAGGGTTGCGCACGTAATATACCTCAAGTAAATTACATTACATTTTTTACTTAATTTACGTACGTAATATACGACTCTAGTTTTCTACAAAACGTAATATAACTTTTTAATATTTTTTTACGAGGGAAGTGGAAAATTTGCATAACCCTGGAGGCCTACTTCCAAGTCAGATATCCGTACTCTCAGGTTATGTGGGGATGACCGCCCTTGCTCTGGCCGACCCACTAAAAACCACACCCTTTTTGGGACTGTAATTCAACTGGCGGAACTGCTTTAAGCTTTATACATCGCCAGTGGAAGTCTCCTTACCTTTGTTCTCAGTCCTAAATCCTTAACTGAGTGCCAGCGAAAGAAGAAGGAGAGCCAGTTAAGGACTCCCCCGTCTACCGCGTGGACCCAGCCGAGCAGCAGGATTTCTCCAAGTTAACCTCCTCCTGTCGTCCTCATTACTTTTGTAATGAAGGACTCGATGCTCCTCCAAGAGTCAGCGCTTTGCAACATAATAGAGACCATGTTTTCAGCTGTGACTTCAGTGCCTACAGCCGAGAACATGGCTTGCCTTAGTTCACGCCAGTGCCCGCAGAAAAAGAGCTTCGTCGACGCCTGAAACGTTGCAATACACACATCTCGCGTCTGCTTCTATTTTAAAACGATAAAAATACTGTCCGAAACAACCATCACCTGACAACGCTTGTGTAAGGTAGTAGCCTACTTCATCGTGTTTCCTATCCAACCATGTGGCGAGGAAGGGAATCAGGCGGTAGGTCCGCCTACCTTTAGACTTCCCATCTCATCTCTCCTGCCATTTCTAGACGAGTCCACTTCTGGACTCTCTGCTTATTATCTCTTTGAGTCTATCTCTATGCTCTGAAGTACCCGTTAGATCTTTGTTAAGATGGAAGATCTTCTTCCTTTCCATCGCCAATAAATCCATTGGCGGTAATAATCCAGCGAGTACCAGAACAGCGTAAGTAGA